TCATGGGATTTTCATGATGTTCAAATTCCGATTTCAAATCCTATTCGAAATAATCCTCAAAGAATTACTCACTTTCTAGATGGAAGAGTTAGTGTTAGTTTTGAAAAACTAGCTAGATCTAATTCATCTAGGACTTCATATGAATTAGAAGAATCTTCTGAAGTTCATCTTCAAAGAAGAAGACATTCCTTCTCTAAGCTTAGGAATGTTAATTTCAAGCCTGAAATCCCTAAGCCTCAATATTCTAAAGAAGAATCTGAATATTCTATTAATCTAGAATTTCCTACTGAATCAGATATGATGCCTCCTTCAAATGAAAAACTTTCAAAACAACTTAATGTTATTTCTTCTATTATTGATAGAAGAATTGAATTAAAAAATGATCAAACTCCTGCTATTAAAGCCTTTAGAAGAAACCTTCGAAAAATGTTTTCAAATGAAGAACTTGAAACTTATTGAGAATAATTTTTTAATTTTTCAAAAAATTTAAGTTTTTATGAATGGATTAATTTTAAAGTTTTTGGAAAAAGAATTTCTAAAACTCATTCAATTCAAACAAATCGTTCAAAGAAAACTTTGACTCTTTCTTCCAGAGAAATTGTTCAATCTGAACATCCTCCATTACAAGAAATTGTTTTTCCTCATGGCTCAACTACCGCTTCTCCTTTTAAGCAAGTTTTTGATAAAAGAAGTGGTAATAGTCCTGCAAAAGTTAATGATATTAAAAATCTTCAAATTCAAAATAATTTTACAAATATTATTTTGAATTCTATTTGTTCTCAACTTTCAAGAATTGAAAGTTATTCTACTGAAAATGAAAAAAATTCAAAAAAATTTGAAACTCTCAATACAAGTTTTAGAGAAACTTCAAAATCAAAAAGCAAAGAAAAGAAACATGTTCAACTTCTTTTCAAACCCATTGAATCAAGTCTTTCTCCAAAACTAGGAAATAATCTTAACTTAGATTCAAAAATTCTTAAGGAACTTACCAAACAATTTTCAAAATAAAGTTCTCTTTCAAAAAATATCAATACAATTGATTTTGTTGAAAATCTTGAAAATCAATTTATTGAAGAACAACCACTTCAAATCAATAAATTAAATTTTAAAAAATCAAAACTTCCAACTTTTTATCCAAGACCTTCTCATCCAGATCTTCTTCTTGAAGAAAAATCATTTCAATAATTTTCTGAAACTTATTCCGGTAGTGATATTATTGAATGGAATATTGATTGTATGACTGAGTTTCAAATCATTCAAACTATGGAAAAAATGTCTGTTTGTATGGCTGCTTATACTAGCAAAAATATTGACACTATAACTGCCTGCAATAATCTTATTGTCGGGTTTATTGGTCAACTCAAAGGATGGTGGATTTATAATCTTTCTGAAGAAAATAGACAAGAAATTCTTCAATATATCAAAATTGAAAATGGTAATACA